ATAAAATCATTCAGCTGCATTCTTACAATCTCATTTATAGTAAGAATTTTAGTAATTGTATGGATTTTGCTAAGGTTTTAGGTATTTCTTTTACCGGTTTTATTATTAATTCTGATGATAAGTTTGTGAACTGGATCAAACCCAAACCTCCTTATGTTAAAATTAATTCTGATGGGTCTGTTGGTCCTAATGGTGCTGGTGCGGGTGGGATTATTAGGGACTGCCTTGGTAATGTTATTGCTGCTTACTCTGCCCCTATTCAAAGTACTACTGCAATTTATGCTGAACTCAAAGCTTTATTATATGGGTTGAAAATCTGTATCAATTTGGGTATTGGCTTTATCTGGATTGAGGTGGATGCTCTGCTGCTTATCCAAATCATTAATAATATTAATCCTGGCAATCCGAACAACTTTTATCTTATTAGGAAGATTAAAAACTCTCTTTCTAGTGTCAATTACTATATTTCTCAAATTTATCGGAAAGCTAATGTTTGTGTACGTGGATTGGTTGGCAAAAAGGGGTTGTAATATTAAAAGTTATGAGGAGTTGGATCCTAGGAGACTTCATCCTCTATTAAAAGGTATGATTAATTTGGATAAAACTGGCCTCCCTTACATTCGTCATGGTTGAGTTTACTGACTATTTTCCTGGTTGGTTTTTCTTTAAGATTCTCTTTGATATTAACTTTGTTAGCTGTTTTTACTTATCCCTTAATATGAACTACATTTCTGGTCAAAGCTGATATTCCTGTTGCTGATGTATTTCCTCTTTATCAGAATTTGTGCACTATTTTTTGTGCCAATATCGTCCCTGTATCTTATTTTACGGTGTTCCAATCTATTAATATTCGGTATACCGTTTACTGGAAGAACTGTGTTTGCTGGAAGAATTTAGTTGGGGGAAATTGTGTTATTTCGTTTCCCATGGTTTTGGATAAAATGTGGTTACTGATTAATGCTTATTTGTTTTTGGGTGATTGCTGGAGGTGGAATAGTGTTCCGAGTATTTCTTTCTGTAACAATTGGTCCATTTTTGTGGAGATGAGATAGGAGACAAATCAGAATTTCATGTGTTTTGGTTGGAGTTATTTGAGGTTGTTTTCTCACTACAATTATAAGACTTATTACAATGTCAGTTTTAGGTTCTTTATGTCTGATTTTACCTTTTGGAGAGTGCCTTGCAGGGTTATATCCATTTTTTTCTTCGGGAGCTACAATGAGTGCAAGGTACTCCTTTTTTGGTATCATTTTTTGCTGCTCTATTTTTTTAATCTTTTTTTTTTTGCAGGAAGATGGTGCTGAACGAGAATTTTCTGATCTTCCTTTTTTGAGTGCTGTCTGCTCATAGCCCAAGTACTTTTTTATGCCTTTCTTGTAATCTTAGGATAAGGAACCACCGGCTCGTAGGTTTTATTTCAGTTTTGCTTGTAGCTCGTTTGAGCAGTAGAGAGCTAGTGGATCCTTTTAAGGACTATGTAACCAAAATTTTGAAATTAACACGTAGGCCCCTCTGCGGGTTTTAACCAAAAAAAAAAAGGGAGAAAAAAAAAAAACCAAGGTTGTTACAACTTCATGTATACATTGAAAAAAGCCTAAGAGGGGTATTGAGAGTGAGATGGCCAACAATAAAACTTACTAATGTCATTTACAAGCATATAACACATGTCTTAAGTTAGGAGTGGAATAAAAAAAAAAATATTATTGATACTATGAGGCGAGGATATAAACAAGTACGTTTTTACTATAAAAAAGTGAGTTTAGAATAATATATATAGGCACCAAATTGAATGCAAGAGATAATATATTTTATTACCAAAAGTTACACCCATCATACTACATGCAATAAAAGATATGAAAAGTTAATGAATTCATACCAATAATTAAGGTACCCAATATTTCATGTACGAAATATTCTTCTGCATATATATTTTTTATATGAATCTCATTTTATGTAATGGACTATTCTCTTTTTTTAATCATCAAGAAGATCTAAATAAATTTTATAAATAGGAAAAATAAAATACATTGAAAAAGGAAATCCCCAAGCCAAAATCTTGCAACTTCATCTTTCTTAAGCTAACTCTCTCTCTCTCTCTCTCTAAGAAAATGGCTGATTTCAGGTGGACTTTTTCATCGAAAATCATTAAATTTCCGTCATAATAATACATTTTGCCAGCACGTAGCCTACCGACTCCCTCTGTGCCTGTAGGGGGATTCGAACCCTGCCCGAAGGTCCCGTGAGTCCAGTGCCATATCAACAGGCCATGAAACAAGCTATATTGTATATACTATTATTCTTTTATTTAAATTATATCTTACATAATATTAAAACTTAATAATTAATTAAAAGTTAATATTAATAATTTTGAAATTTCAAAATATTTTATATTATGGTGAAAATTAATTTAACAATATTTAAAAAATTAGTTAATTAATTAATTTAAATTAGTTAATTTATCTTAATAATAATTATGAATACTATTTATTTAATTTAGTGTAGCAATTTTTAATTTAATCAAATTATTAATTTATTTTAATCATACTTTTAAATTTTAATTACTTTAATTTAATAATGTTTAAACATATTTTTATGTTAAGGCCATTTTACAAAAATAGAACTAGGCAAATAACAAAAATATGCAAGAAATAAAAAAAAAAAAATAACGCAAACTATATTTTTATATTGGTTTGATCTCTTGATATACATTCACTCCCTAAGGTCTTCCTCCCTTAGAATTTCACTAAACCATTCCTACTAAACAATTTTTTATAATGGTAGGTAATAGAAAATCCTACTAGCTAGAAAAAAATACACGTTTTTAAAAAAATATCAAATTATTAAGGATTGTGTAAAATAATGTTTAAGATTTTTATTGCACTACACTATTTTTCAATATTCATATAATTTTTAATTCAATAAAAACCCCACTAGTTTCATAATTACTATTGTAAAAATTCCACAAAAATAATCAAAAAGTGCATAATCATAATATTTATAACATATAAAATGTTATGTGATGAAAGTTTGACAAGTGTAAAGTTATTCATATTTTTTACTAACGAAAATAAAATTTTAATCAAAAAATCCTCTAAAAATTGCATATTTTTAAAATTTGAGATGTACATAATGTGACTTACATAAATGACCAAGTTGGAAAATGACCAAGTTTTCCAACTTGGTCGATGGACGCGAAAATGGCTCTAAGACCTCCAACATCGAATTTCTATTTTCTCTCTTCTCTTTTTCTCTCCTTTTTCCTTAGTCGTTCTCTGTTTGGGAAAAATGAAAAAGGCAAAGCTTTTATCATAGTATAGAAAAGTGGATTAGGATATTATAATAAAAATATTAAATAATTAAAAATGTTAATTTTTTCTAAATTCTTTTATATCTTTAAATCCAAAAATCCAATAATTAAATAAAAATGTTTATAAAATAGCTAATAATATCCGTAACATTGTGGTGAAATCGTTTTGCAAAATGGACACATGACATCCCAAAAGATTCACTTGTAGTGAGAAGGGTCAATTTTTTAAGAAATTTTACTAGTGACTAAAAATTATGAAAAAAATAGAAAAATTAAAACACTACACGATAAATGTTCTAGCGAAGACGGTTTTAGATTTTGATTATAATGGTTTCTGAAATAATTATTTACTACTCTAGGTCAAAAAAATTCTAAAAAAAAATATTTTTTTAAAGGGTTTCATAGGCAATCATTAGGGTGATCATTGGTATTGAATGTTGGGTAGAACTCTAAAATTTTCGGATCTCCAGGCTCTCTTCAATTTCAAATCAAGAATCAAGCTCCAAGCTCCTTCAAGAGAAGCATGGGGTCCATTCATAGCTTTCTTGAGTAACAAACATTTCAATAAATCTGTCTAATGCTAAAAAATAAACTCCATTGCAGGCCCAACTTCATTATCTTTAACAATAAATTATTTTTTCATCATTTAAATTGATATTAAGTGACCATGGGCTCATTGAATTCCTCTTGCCGAGAGGGTCATTTTGACTATAAGAATGCAAAAATAAAAAATGATAGGTCCTTCAAATAATGTTCCAAACATTCCAACCACCCCTCAACAGTTAGATTTGGGCTCATTTTAACATGGATTGTATAACTTTTGACTTTGTTCAGCTTGTACAGTAGAAATGTTCAATTCGACTATAAATTTATATAAATTCAGCACTTTCGATTTACTTTACTTTGTGAGAGTTTCAAAATTAAATTCAAAATATTTTAATTTCCAATGTGAGATTATGATTCATACTTGATCAAACAAATTTTCTAATAACTAATTTATATTTTTACATAATAATTGATTCTTTTGGTAAATTGTATAATCACTTATTATATATTTTTATATTTTTTCCATAATAATTGCGGATCAAAATCTTATCCCAATTGCTTTCAACCAAAATATTTCTAAAATTTTTCATGACCATAATAATAAAAAAAAATCTTTTTAACCAAAATATTTTATAATACATAATGATCAAATTCCTTCGAATCCACCTCATCAAATCCCTTTCTACAATTTGGTACGTAATTGGTCAAAGCCGACCGCACTTCTTGCATTCATCAACAAATAAATAAAATTTACCTACACACATTCAACCAAAAAATAAAAATAAATAATAAATAATAAATAAGAACAAGTTGCCCTTACGTGCTTCAGTGTGGAACCGGTATTCAAGGATTTGCATAGGGAAGCAACTTTTTTGCCCTTTCTGTCTCTCCAAGCTGGCAGCTGCTCTTATAAATCAATCGAAGGAGAACCACTTTCTCCAAAAAAATCAGAAGCGAAATAGAAACAAGCGAAAGCTACATGCGAATCAGAGATAGTGTTCGTAAGCATGGATCACATTTGTCCTGGCGATGGGCTCAACATTGAGGTCTGCATTCATGGAGAGAAAGCTATTAAAGGGGTTTTTCGGCAAAGGGTGAGGTGGGGATTAGAGAGCGAGACAATAAAACTTCTGCTGGAGATCAAGATATGTGTAGCGACAGATCAAATAGATTTTATCCTCAGCTAACATCAATATTAGAGGGCGATGACGAGGATGATGACGACGACGAGCCAGATGGTGCTTTCACCTTTTCTGGTTCGACTAGTTCTGATAATGTCCTGTATGAGGTGAAATTGGAGCTCTATGATAAAGTAAATGCAGAGGCAAGAAAACTAAACACGGGCGTTAGAAGCATCTTCTGTGTTATCGAAAAAGCAGAGAAAGGGTGGTGGAAGAAGCTACTGCGCAGTGATGTAAAGCTACCTCACTACATTAAAGTTGACTGGGATAAATGGGCGGAGGAAGATGAAGATGATGACTTTGGAGGGATGGACTTTTCGAAATTTGGTAATATGGGTGGAATGGATGGTGATGACGATCTTGACGTTAGTGATGATGAAGAGGCCGAAACTACAAAGACTGAAGATGGCACTGAAGCCCTAGATGTGGAGAAAAAGGTTGAAGAAGTTTCAGAGATCAAAGAAGAAACAGAAAAAGCTCCAAGCACCTGAAATCCTCAAGAACACTCTGTTGTGCCCTCCATTGATCTCTCATTACTGTGGTCCAGATATTAATACAGACAATTTTTCAGCTTTTGCCTTATTATTTCCTTTAAGAGTTCTATTTTTTTTTAAAAAAAAAGGATCAAATGATTCAGACTGTGCCAAAAACATAGGGAAATATGGCCTAGACTTAGAGGTGATCTAAGGGTTTATTTGGGCTGTAAAGGCTGAAATTTGGGTAGCATATTTAGGAGTTGGGTTATTTGTTTATAGAACCTCTTTGAAGTAATTATTAAGATTGTGATTATCATGAGAGAATTTGTAATATTTTATTTCTTATAATGTTGAATTTTTTTATTTAAAAGAGGTTGATCCTATTTTTATATATTTGCTTATGAAATTGATTCAAATGCCTTTTAATTTTTATCAAAAGTTTTTTTTAAATTAGTACTATAATGTCTTCATATTTACTTTTCATTTTCCATCCAACTTAATTTATTAATTTTTCGAATATTTGTTGCAAGCTAAATGAAATCATAAAATATGTGTAAATATATGTTTTTCTTTATACATAATTAATTTATGTTCAAGTATTGATGATCAAATAGAAATTCATTTAATTTTTTGACGTGATTAAAGGAAATTTAAAGAATAACTGAACTTTAATTAAATTTGTTACAACTACATGTATGCATTGTTAGAAAGCTGCTTTAGAAAGTAGCAAGAAAGTTATTCAAAATGAAGTTATCCTAAGAGAAACATTGAGAGAGAGATGACCAACAATAAAACTTGCTAATCTCATGTGCATGTATATTACAAATGTCTTAAGTTTGGAGTGGAATTAAAAAAAAAAATCTTATTGATACTATGAGGCGTGGATATAAACAAATACTTTTTTACACTAAAAAAGTTAGTTTAGAATAATATATAGAGGCATCAAATTGAATGCAAGAGAAAAAATATATATATTTTAACAAAATTTATACCCATGATACTACATGCAATAAAAGATATGAAAAGTTAATGAATTACTACTACCCATAATTGAGTTACCCAATATTTCATGCACGAAATATTCTCCTCCATAAATTTGTTAATATGAATCTCATTTTATGAAATGGACTCGTTTTTTTTTATCATCAAGAAGATCTAAATAAATTTTATAAATAGGAATAGAAAAATCACTGAAAAAATCCCAAAGCAAAAAATCTTGCACTTTCAACTTTCTCAAGCTCTCTCTCTCTCTCTCTCTCTCTCTCTCTCTCTCTCTCTCTCAAATTCTAACAATTCAAATTATTTTTCATATTTTTTAGTTATGGTCAATTAACAAAAATAGAACTAGGCAAATAACAAAAATATGCAGAAATAAAAAATAAAAAAAAAGAAAAGAATGCAAAGTATATTTTATACTAGTTTGATCTCTTGATCGATGTTCAGTCACCATGGTCTTCCTCCCTGAGAATTCCACTAAACAATTCCTTTTGTACATAGCAAGGTGGAGAAGCCCTTCTCCTTCTACAGGCAGAGAAAAACCTTTTACAATGCTTATCTTCCCCAAAAAGCTTCAAGCTACCTCCTTCTGCTTCATAGCATGACATAGATGTAGAACAAAGACCTCTCAAGCCTTTCAACAAATACATCTCAAATTTCTTTTCCAAAGCTCTTCAAGCAAACCATTTAGGGAATAAGGTGTAGAATAAAGAAGCAATCATTTGAATCATCTCACACAACTCTTTGAATCCCAAGGAACCTTATCAAAATCTCTCCCTCGCCTGCCAAATATTTACACAAGCTCTCACAAGATATACACCCTCCATCAATAAAACTCTATGAATATCTCTATAGCAACTACTTGAACCAACTCTCTCTCTCTCTCTCTCTCTCTCTCTCTCTCTCTCTCTCTCTCTCTCTCTCTCTCTCTCTCTCTCATCATAAAGATTGGTATTAAAAAAAGGACCCAATTTTTTCAATATCTATTGACTAGATTGTACAATAAGAATATGAATTCATACAATATGAGTAGTTTAATTTGAATAAAATATGAAAATTCTTCTCTACATGATTGAACTGTATGATCATGATCAAATAAAATGATCAGCTCAAGTGATCAATGGATTGTCCTGTCTGAACTGGAAATGCACGAACATGCTCTCTGTCTCTCTCTCTAAAATATTCGATATGTATCGTATTCTACAAATATTCAACTTGATTTTATCTCTATTCAATTTCGAATTTTCTAGATCCAAAATAGGTAATATATAGCATAATAAGTTCAAATTTAAACTTAACTTTTTTATGAAAATTCAGAATAACCAATTAGTTTTGTGTGAAATAAGTGATTGTTCATGACAATTAGTTATCTTTTTAATTCTTATTTTCTATTTAATTAATATAAATTGATTTGTTATTAATTTAAATAATTATACAGTATGATCAAGAACATACATTATAATTTTTAAGGAATTCAAGTAATGTTAATTGATTTTAAATTCTTATTCTTTAAATTCGAATTTGTGAGTGTGTGGTTAGTTGTTTAACCATTCTACACCTATAATATGAATTGAACATAAAAAAGATAGAAAATGAGACACACCAAAAATCTTTGATAATCTATTTTTTTTAACAGTTTTAAGAACTATTTGTTTTTCTTATCTCTAATTGAGCATTACTCTGCCTTGTGTTTTTTACCTAAAATGTTACTATAAATAAAATACTTTGCACATAAAACTAATATATACATTAGCTTAACTCTTAATGTTTGTGAGCATCAAAGACTTAGTATGTACGGGCTCATGATGTCCAGTAATCTCAATGAGTAGTTTAATTTGAATAAAATATGAAAATTCTTCTCTACATGATTGAATTGTATGATCATGATCGAATAAAATGATCAGCTCAAGTGATCAATGGATTGTCCTGTCTGAACTGGAAATGCACGAACATGCTCTCTCTCTCTCTCTCTCTCTCTCTCTCTCTCTGTATCGTATTCTACAAAAATTCAACTTGATTTGATCTCTATTCAATTTCAGAATTTTTAGATCCAAAATAGGTAATATATAGTATAATAAGTTCAAATTTAAACTTAACTTTTTATGAAAATTCAGAATAACGAATTGGTTTTGTGTGAAATAAGTGATTGTTCATGATAATTAGTTATCTTTTTAATTCTTATTTTCTATTTAATTAATATAAATTGATTTGTTATTACTTTAAATAACTATACAGTACGATCAAGAACATATAGTATAATTTTTAAGGAATTCAAGTAATGTTAATTGATTTTAAATTCTGATTCTTGAAATTCTCATTTGTGAGTGTGTGGTTAGTTGTTTAACCATTTTACACCTATAATATGAATTGAACATAAAAAAGATAGAAAATCAGACACACCAATAATTTTTGATAATATATATATATATCCCCCCACCCCCACCACCACCACACACACACACACATGTTCATGATGGTAAATATTTTGATTAAAATTTATTTTAGCATATAATTAATTCAGTCCATTGCCAATTTGTCTCTCTTACTCTATACTTCCAATAATTTTAATAAAATTTTTCTCACACTTAAATTCTATTATCGTTTCTTTCTAACGATTTCAATAACACATATTCCCTCACTTAAATATTTAACAGTACATGAAAGTATAATAGGAATAATGAAATAATTAATGAAGATCATGCCTTTTTTTCAAGAGATATCAATTAACATTTATTAGAGTAGATAGATTTTCTAACATATTTGTGTGTTCCATAATTGCTTTGTCACATATTTAATTGTGGTTAGTGTACATCTATATTATTGGTGAAAATAATTGATGAAGTTTGGAGCATAACTATTAGAATTAACAATATACATTTGCTTTATATTTGATGACATGAAGTAATGGTGGTGGTGATGAAAGTGAAAAGTGTCAACATTTATGTTTATGAAATGCACTAACTTTATGCACAGTGGCCAATGTTGAGGGTTTTGGTTACAATAGGAGATAAAGTCAGCAAAATTCAACCCTTATGTAGTCAAAATGCATAAGCCATATAGGAATTTGCATACATCGATGCTACTTATGATGATGGGCAATAAAAATTGGCGAGTGCCAACATTTATGTTGATAATATGCATCAACTATATGTATGTTATTATTCGAAAAAAATCAATGAAAAAATGGGAAAAAAATTAGTGGGACTCGACATTTATATTCAAGAAATATATCACACTTATTAGCAAATAAGTCTTCCAAAGATGGTAATTAAACAGTAAAGTTTAAGAACACTTAGTCAGTCATGGTTGTTATTAAATGATAAAAGTCGGGTGACAAAATTGTAGAGATGTATTACTGTAAATTTGGACCCAAGAACTATGATTTTAATGACAAAAAATATTATTAATTTCATACTACTATCTTCTATTAATTGTTTCTAATGAATATCTATTTTTTTCCTTGCTCTCTAGCATTTTAGGTCCACAGTTTACTTGTAACTTCAATCAGCTCAAGATTGGTTAGACTATGGTTGAGTCTGTTTATAATTTCAACTTCAATGTACTTTTTTTTCTTGAGTCAAGTCATGTATATGGTGGATACTAAGCTGAGTAACCTTGTAAATACACACTTAAGGGAGTGAGTTAGAAAAAAGATTATCTTTAGAACTAAATATATAATAAGATCCATATCGAACTAAACAAACATTTAACAAGAAAATCCTAATTAGGGCACCTTTTTTTAATTAAGATGAATTAAACTAATCGTACTGTACGATCCATATTGTATAAGATGATAAGTTATAATCATTAAAGCAGCCGCCAATTACAATTTAGGTTTTATTTAAAAATTTAAATTTTATTATGATTGTACCATATAATATGCATCATATTGTATGATATATATTTAATAATCATGCCCAATATGATTATGTGATTAGGTTTTTAATTATGATTATTCAATCATATTATATAGGATGATCAGAGACGATCATACTATATGACCCAATTCTCGTATGGGA